ATGTTTTTAAAGGAGTGTGGTGTTGTGACAGTGCAGAGGTGTTTGCTGTCTCACTCTCTGCTGGATGAGGGCGTGCTTGTGCTCCAGCTCCCTCTTCTCCACGGCGGAGTCGATGACCAGCTGATCCAGCTGCGCACGACACCAAAAAAACACCCGGAAGCAGAAGAAGAAGAAGTCAATCAAAGTGGAAACAATCCCTTGGATTGGTCAAACATTTGCCACTTGTCAATACTGGTTTCACCTGCGCAGCCAGTTTTTTCATGTAGGGGTCGATCTCGTCTAAGATGTGAAAGCCTTGCTGAAACAACGTGTACTGGGCTCGCATGAACGACAGCATCTGCAGAGGAGAACAAAACTGCTCAACGTCACACAGCAAACACACACGCAGGACAAGACGTCTGCGCAAAGGTTTAGACGAGTCACTCACAGCGTCGAGGATTTCAAACTTCTTCTTGGCCTGAAGCACATTAATCTGCCACGAACAAAGACGGAAAGCAGATTTAAGTTTTGTGTTGGCGTGTTTGAGATTAACCGGAGCGCTCTTCTCCAAACCGTTTTAAACTCGGATGATGAACAGGGGCTCAGCAGCTGTTGTGCGTCACTGCCACCCGTTGGACAACGCTGGAGCAATTTGCGTGTAGGAAGTGTCTCACCTGCAGCACATAGTCCAAGGCCAGGTGCCTGAAGGCTTTGCGGCTCAAGATGAGAGCCTGTGCGGCCTCCTCCGCCTCGTGCACCTTGTTCCTGGGTGCTTGTGCGTTCTTCACCTGGGCTAGCTCCATGTCCTCACGCACTCGGTCAAACTGCTTCTTGGTGTCCTTAAACTTACGAACATCCCTGATGGGGGGGCGGCGGCACAAAAAATAGTGGAAGAGACACTTTAACCATCAGGTTGTTTAAATTACAAATCACCCTAAAAACTAATTCAGGCACGTTTGCTTGATCTGAATGTATAAATGTCTGCGTGATACAAACATCATGATGAGTTTAGATTTGTGAAATGATTTGCTCCTCATGGTTTTACGTAAACTAAAACACTACAAACATTTATGGTTCGAGTCTTTGGGGACTTTCTCAGTGTCTTTACTACTGATGGATTTCCCTGCAAAGATTACGTTGACCAAGTCCAGATGAATTAAATTACATCATCCCCTCATCCTAAAGGAAATGTTTAAATTTTGACGATGCTTTCTGTAAACGCTGCATGACTTTTTTGAGCGTGTAAAACCGTGAAACATTTCTGACATTTACATCCTCAATCAGATGATCTGGATTTTGCTTGAGTGGACCATAAAATGCTTATTTCAATCTTTTGTGTAAACCTGAACAGGCAACTCCTGTTTTCTTCTGATAAGTGATGAGATGCTCACTCTTTAATGAAGGTGTGGAGCTGCTGTTTGATCGATCTCTGAGCCTGGTCAAACAAAATCTGCAACAAGAGGAGGACAAATAAACAGGAACACAAGGATGTTAATCAGTGGCTTCTCCTTTGCTCATCTTCCAACAGTGGCAGACACTTTCAGCTCGGATTATTATTGGTTAAAGTAAAAACTGCAAATAAACCAGGACCTCAGTGACCAGAACCCTATTTTTTCCATAAACTTTTTTTTTTTTTTTTACAATTAATAATAGAATATACTATTAGCAATCATTTTTCAATTTAATTAAACAACTGGAGGTCACTTCAAGACTCCACATTTGTTGTTTTAATCACCTGCGATGCAGAGAAGTTCATGACTTGGTTCATATGCTGGTGTAGATTATCAGTCATCCAGGGCAAAGTAATCTTTGCATGTTGAATAGACTTAGAAACTTATTTTTAATTTACATTTTAGAAAATATTTGGCTTCCTATTCAAGAAAGTTTTTCAATACAGAACAAAAAGGTGCAAAGTGTCCAGGTCATAAACAGTGAAAGATATTGAAAATGAGAATTAAAACCCTGAAACCTCTGATACTGATACTAGATTAGGAAAACATAACATTCAATAATAATAATAAAATAAAAATCTCTGCCTTTTATTCAACATTCTTAAAGTTGCCCACGTCTGTAGTAGCTGCATCTCACCACAAGATGGCAGCATAAACCCAAGTCATCCCTGAGCCATGCCTGGCAGCTGAGGCAGAGGAAGGAGGA